GTTTATTTCACATCATTGTGACCCCACTGGCCACAGCCATCATGGAGGCTCTTTCTTCTCTAGTGCCACTGGGGAGGTTCAGAGAGCCACCGGGAGGTTTGTAGTTTGCATGTGAACTGTTTGTGCTAATGTACAAAAATTCCCAGATAGGTATTTGCCAAGTCTGTATTTGACTTGGAAAGTCCTTTCATTTTCCTTATTTAGTTATTATAAACCAAAACATTGAAGTTGGAAAAGATTTAATTTTACTTGGATCCACTAATGAAATTAAAAGTCAAGAAATCATAGGACATAGTGCATTGTGCAGATCTGTAAAGGCCTTCCATTAAAGATATTACTTCTCCATAAAGATATTACTTTGAAGAAATTGGATGTGCATGACCCTCATCATGTTGTTGTTGTTGTGTATTGTTGAGCCAACATCGACCCATATCTGACCCTTCAGTGGGTTTTCAAAAGTAGTTAATCGCACGGGTGGAGATTGTCCATCTGTCTCCTGAGGGAACGGGTGGTAGATTTCAACTCTGTGCCTTCAGGATCTCAGTCCTCACTCTTGCCCATAGGTGTACGAACGCTGGGCTGTGACTAAGGAAGAATGAAGAATTTTGATAGCTTTGAATTGTGTTGGCGAGGAATATTGACTATCTTTTATGTGTAGTCGGAATTTTCATCAGAGTGAAGAGTGACAAGACTTCTTGTTAGGTATTTTGGAGCTGTTAGGAATGTTCAATGCCTGGAGAAGGACTACTTTCTGGGTAAAGTAGAGGCTTAGTGATAAAGACGACAGTCCTCAGTTAGGTATCTAACAGTGGCCGAAACAATGTGTTCAAACCTAGCAATGATTGTGAGAATGGCCTAGAACTAAGCAGTGTGTGTGTTCATCAGCCTCTGTAAGTCGGAACTGACTTAATGGTACTCATGTGTTTCCACTGGTAAGCTTTACTTTTTATTTACTATGTGTTTTCGTTTAATGGTACATTTTGACTCAAGTATCGCGAGGAATTTTATTGGTGTCTTTGCTTTTTTTGCTTACTTTGTTTGCCAAGGTGCATGCTTTATTTAAACAATCAATTCTTTATAGAATCCTCTCTCAGATCTGGTTCTATTTTACTTTTCAGCCACTAAACTAGGACTTCCTCAACCTTCTACAGAAAAAAGTGTAGATTTTTTTGGGATTCCATCCATCCATTTTAGCTTGCTCTTACCTCATATTCCTGTGTCCTAAAATGCCTCCTTTGTATATTTGCTACATCTCACCCCTGTAGCCTTCTCAGGGACCCTACTTCTTCCTCCCAGGTTTTACTTCTTACTGTCTTTTTTTCCATAGATATTTAAATACAGGCAAAGGTCTCGTATAGTCAATAACAAGTCATATAATTAAATACGTGCACAAACATAGACCCTCAGAGTCATCCTCTACAATCTATCCACTTTTGTCTTTGCTTTCTCTCCTCTTTGCACAGACGCCTCACCTGCCTTTTACTCCCTATGCTCCCCCCTTCTTCCTTTCTCCCCTCTTGTTGTGTATCATCAAGAATAGTCACCCAGTACTTTCCTGTACCATCATCCTGGGGATCAGTCTGGCTCTTCTCTTTTTCCTCACCTCCAGAGAAAAAACAAATCACTCGGTTTCATTCATTTTACCACTACAGCTATCTCAGATCAGTCTGGTAATCCTTCCTTTCCCTTGCTATTGCCAGGTTTGTGAGAATATTACTTCTCTTTCCACATCGATTGTCTGGAATGGGTTCTCATTTACTGAGACTCTATGTGTAGCTTCCATGTAGGGAGCTCTGGTGGATAATGCTGCCAGCTCAAAGGTACTAGGTTTGAGAGATGGGAAATTTACTCCTGTTGGATTCCCCTTCCCTCTGCAAGTTTCCTCTGGTTTATGAGAGGCCTTTCTGGTGATTCTAGTAGCTCAGAGCTCACAACTGTCATTTCATGTCTATACTCAGAACCTGTCTCGGACATTCACTGTTCTTGCTGTGTACGATCGCATCGGAACTGGCCCATAGCTCACCCTGTGGCTGGTTTTCATTGCTATTTAGTCGCAAAGGGGGGGGTCAGGGGAGATTACCTATCCTTCTCCCCCGAACAGTTGATGGATTTGAACTGTGTTCCTTCAGGATTGCAGTGCAGCTCACTCCTGGCTCGTAATTTCCTTCTCTATCTTGCCTTGGACCAGCAGTTCTCAGTCCTGACAGCACACACATATTGCACGTCACAAAGTCCCTGATGGAGATTTGAAACCTCTGAGTGTCCCGGTGGACCCCAAATCAATGATAGCAGCAGTCTCCTGCCTGGGGCTCTAAGGTTTTCAGATCCCCTCAAAGATCCTCATGCTGAGATGTGCTGATTTACATAACTTGGTCTTTTCCATCTTCTCATGTCATTTATCATTCCCCAATCCCAAGGTTTCTCTTCTTTTAATATTTTTACTAAGTTGAGAAGAAACAGCTGTGAAGCTCTGCCACCCCTTTCAATCTGCTGTTTGTTCTTATTTACATACGATGGAACCCAGCCCACTGATTTACAGCTCTGGTTCCCTTACAACTGTTACTGAACTGAAAATATAGCTAAAAACTGATTAAACAGGAAAAAAATTCTTTTGAGCTTTACCACATGATTAAAACAAAACAAATATTGCCAATATTGTCTGTTTTGGAGAGTGACAACTGAGGGGCCTTGTACTCAAGAAGTGGCAGAAATGCCGCAGTCTGCTCAGGCTTAGTGGTGGCCTCTCTTTTGCTCTGATCCTCTGTACTGGTCCATAAATGCTGGAGGCAAATATAGGGCTGTCAGTTTCCTGCTGTTTCACACTTTCTTTGGTTCGTGGCTTTCAGGAGACATTCTTTCTCTGACATCCTCCTTTGGACCAGTCATTTTAAGTTGAAGCTGCTAAGGAGAAAATAGGACAGTGGGTAATTGATACAGATCATTCACGCTTCTGTCTTAACTTTATTTTGCCACTATATTTGGAAAGAACTAATATCCTTATGTTAGTCTAATTTACAATGCCCAAGTTTCTCTTGGAGCGCTGGCTCTCCTTGCCTTTTCATCTGTTTCTATTATCCCAACTGTTCATTCACTTTCTTGTGCAGTCCTTTTTTCAACAATTACCCATGCCCCAGCCCTTATTAAGCTATTAATAATGAGTTTCCACCTTAATCAGTTTAAAGCAATTTTCTAACTGCACACAAAAGTTATTTCTGTGGAGATTTCCTTTTACAACTGGGCCATCAAATTTTTATCATGGAAAGAAATGGTTAGTCATCCTCCAATGGTAGAGGAAAAAAAGGAATCTGTTTCCTGTAAAAAGAAATCTTGCTGGAGTATGGAAGCAAACGCAAAAGAATCCATTTCTTAACATGACTAATATAATATAAGCAGGTTGTTTTTACTAATTTGTCTTGCGGCAGAAAATGTTGTTTGAAGCTTATTTACTTTGTTTACCGACATCCAAGCAGATATATGTACTCCCATGTTTATCGCGGCTTTCTTCACAAAAGCAAGAAATTATAAACAACTTAGCTGCGCATCAACAAACGAATGGGTAGGGAAGCTGTGGTAGATTCGCATGGTTGCTGGTTTCAGAGAGCAAGCAGCCCAGTGGAGACAGTGAGTTGAATGCCTTGCATGTTCTAGCCTCAGAAGTCATCACCTCTGGGGTATTCTGGTTTTTAGAGGCGAATTGCCAAACCTTACCATATTCAAGGGGTGGGGATTTAGAGTCCATCTGGAGTTATGTTAAAGACTGCCAGAGCACACCCATGTTTATCACAGCTTTGTTCACAATAGCAAAGAGTTGGAAACAACCCAGGTGCCCATCAACAAACGAATGGATAGAGAAACTGTGGTATATTCACACAGTGGAATACTACTCTGCATTGAAAAACAAGAAATTCATGCAATATTATTCAAAATGGGTGACCCTGGAGGACGTTATGCTGAGTGAAATATCTCAGTTGCAAAAAGACAAATACTGCATGGTGCCACTGTTGTAGAATGGTACTCACATGAGGGTTGGGGTAAGAGTGAGAAAAACTCGATAAATTATGTATACTGCATTGAAACAGATGAGAGCGAGAACAATTTTAAAAGCGATATATTATAGGGTATTATGGTTCTCAGAAGTGTCCAGAATTAAGGTTGCATAGTGGAGTGTGCTCATTGTGGGGGCAGGGATTGGGGTGTGGGGGAATTGTATACTAATGAAAGAATTTTTCTTTTAGTTTTCTTTTTTTTTTCTATATTTTATTAATTTTCATAAACATTTACAGAGATTTTGGGCTTCCACTCATTCATTGTTGCACTATTCTCTCTACCCTCCTCCCAGTTTGTTCTTGTCCAAATGCCACAGTGCTTGTCAAAGCCAGTTCTGATTAATCTTCTTTGTCAGTGTATCCTTTGCCATTCCCTATCACTCCTCCCTGAGAGAGACTTCACCCTGAGTCATAAGCAAAAGGGGACGGCGTATTCTCTTAGCTACTTCCTGCTGAAAAGGGACGCTGTGGGTTTCAGGGTGAAGATCTTCTCTCACTACTCTAAAGGGCCCCTTTGGCAGTAGGAAACACATAGACTATTATGGAGATTGATTTTGGAATTTAGATGCACTCTTATTGATTGTGCTTGGCTGTACATGTTCATATCCTTGAAGATGTATCATGGGGGTGTTGCAACCTAGAAGACACAAATTTGACTAACAAGTTATAAGTACATGAGTCAAAAGTGAACTGGGAGGAAGGGCTGGGCAGGGAGAAAAGTGCAACAATGAATGAATGGAAATCTGAAATATCTGTAAATGTTCAATAAAATTAATAAAATTTAAAAAAATCTCGCTGGATTTTCAGAGGCAAATACAAAAGAACCTCTTTCTGAAGGCGATTATTATAATGTAATATAATAGAAACAGGTTTTTTGGTGAATTGCTCTGTGCGCAGAAAATGTTGTTTGAAGCTTATTGACTTTGACCCTGCCTCTTCGGTATCTTTTTGTAGATGGAGGAGTTGATTGAGGGAGTTCGTTGGGCATTTATTGACATGCTGGAGAAAGAAAATGAGTGGATGGATGCAGGGACCAAAAGGAGAGCCAAAGAAAAGGTAAGACTCCTTCTTGTGGGATTTTCATGCTTGACATTGACTGTATAGTGGGTTTTTATATTGACTGAGCCGCTTGCTTTGGATGACTGCAAAGGTAGGTGTCTGCATTTAGATGAGTACATCCATTTCATCTCCAGGAGGTAAGAGAAGATGTGAATTTTACTTTTACTAATTGCACTTCAAACACCTAGTAATTTAGCCTTTCCTTCTCTTGTAATTGCTGTCTTTAAGAGCCACATGGCTTGTTGCCCAACGAATTTTGCCATAAACCATCACTGGATTTGGCAGAATGTAGAGCAGTGGGGAGCCATGGGGAGCAGGTGGCAGAAGGGCCCTGAAGACATGAAGGAAGAAGAAAAACCCGTATTGCCTGTGTGGAATTCTGTTCTGTGCATAATGTGTGCAAGCATCCTCAGGGAAATCTTTTTTTACAACAAAGTAGATCTCCTTTCTAACTTAGCACTTTGCACAAATGACCCAAATTACATGCTTATCAAATGGGACACAGTGGAAGACCATTGAGTAGGAATAAAAAAGTATTTCCTAATTGAAATACTAGGGCCTTATAAAAGGCCTAGAATATTTGGCTTTTAAAAAATCTGGTGCTCGTATGCAACAAAATAGTGAGCTCTGGTGCTCCAGTGGTAAAAAGTTGTGCTGCATTCTTGAAAGCATGGGGTTCAAATCCGTCAGCTACACCATGGGAGGATGGGCATTCTCCTCCCAAGTAATCAATTGTCCACTTAAAACTCACTGGAGGGTCATCTGCGGGTCAGTTAAAACTTGATGGTATACCACCACCAGAGGAAGAGTACAAGCAGCCATGTTGGAAAACTGACCATCTTGAATTCCTGACACTCTATTGGAACTGGGTTGAGATCACCTTCTACATGCTTATTGGAGTCCTCTCAGTGGGGAAGCTTTAAAATTTGGGTTATTCCTTCTGTAAAGAGGTAGCTCTGGGGCCTTAGTGATAAGTTGTGCTGCCAACTCCAATGAACATGGTTTGAATCCATTAGCTGTTCAGCTGGGGAAGGATGGCTACTCTTCTTCCATGTGATTTACTGCCTCTGAAAACCTGTAGGAGGGTCAGGTGCGATTTAGTTTCGACTCAAGAGTGCTTAAATTGATTGTTTAACCAGGGATGCATGGCCTTTCCAGAGCCCTTCCTCTTTTGGTCTCAGTTAGTGGATCATGGGTCCAGTCTGTGAGTTTCATCAGTCTGTTTACTGATTTCTTTTTACCAGGCAAGCCTGGTAAACATTGCTGAGATTCATGCCTTCTATTTAAACATAAATATTTGTACCTTATGGTCAAGAAACAAACAAAACAGCATTCCTTGAAGACTGTGCCTTGTGATTGGGAACATGTAGAGAATTAGCAAGAGTATTTGATCTATCTTTACCACGCTACGTGGTGACTACGTGGGCTGTGATGGAAAGCTCTGCAGTTGGTACATGGAATTTTGGTCACCAACACAGTTTAATTTTTTAAAGGCTTCCTTTCTCAACCTAGTGATATCTAGAACACGGTAAGCTCTTCTGGGGTATGCTTCAAAAAACAAATAAGGAAAATAACCCATTGCTCCACAGTCAGTCCTGACTCCCAGTGACCCTGTGCGCAGGGTAGAACTGGCTTACGGGAGGATTCCAGAGCTGCATATCTTCAGGGAAGCAGATGGTGGGTATGAATCTCTGACCTAATTACTGGGCCTGCCGGGCTCCTTTGTGTTACCAGCTCTGTAGCCTTGCCTAACTCCTGGTACACAAGAGAAGACAAGGGTGAATGAGTACAGGCCTCTGGCGTGGAAGGGCGGGGAGGAATTGGGTAGAATAGTGTGTGATGAATAGATGGATGCCGAGGGGATGTCCTCTGATGAGCATGGCCTTTGATTGCCTCAGGAGTTACGTTGAGTTGCATAAGGGATTGAGTGAGCCTTCTAGGCAAGGTGGCCCAGTAGCTCCTAAAGGACTATTCTCAGTCCTCCTAACATTAGAAGTGTTCCTGTTTGCCCCCTTAGCTGGTCTTCAGTCTTATATTTTATTTCCTTGAGAGCTGATACATTTTCTTCTGAAAGTACTCTTTGAAAGCTCTGCTTTCTTTGAGCTGAGTCCAATCTGTCAGGAATGCTGCGTTTTCCTTCAGGTGCAAATATCAAAAGCACTTGTCAGATCGGCCAAATGCTTCCTGTTTTTCAGATCCTAGGGCGCTACTTTAATGAAAGACATGGAAGAGGGATGTTGCCAAGGTCTTTCAGCAGTTCTCTGAGGTCGGTCCCTGCCCTGGATCCCCCGAACATGGAGATTTTCTTTTTAAAAATTACAGCCTGCAGTTCAGAAAATGACCTCTAGGTGGAGCTCACAGCACTCACAAAGGCAACATTCAGCTAACTGAAGGGTTTTATGCAGCTTTCTTCTCTGGGGTTGTTTTAGAAAAATTACCTTTTTTTTCTTGCCCTTTTTCTCTGCTGTCCTCGATTTGATTGCCTTTTAATAGTCAACAAGAAAGGAGACGCTCTACTTAATAATTCTTTAAGTCTTAGGTGGAAATAACCTGACTAACTTACGGCTTTGTCTTTGTGATACTGAGTTGCCCTGCATTAAGAGAGGATTTGCTTGCAGTCGAGGTGGAGGTGAATTATTGTCCTCCTCTTCCTGGTATGACTTGGCACTGTTCTTTGGGCATGTGTTGTATGCAGTATAATACCCAGGCAGAAGTTTTTCATCAATAATAGTGCCCACACTGGGCCAATGCTGAGTCACTTGGCAACTCATTGGGAGACCTGGGGAAATGTTCTGAATTTAGAGAGTGAGAAGTGTTTTTTCTTCACCATGAAGCCCTGAACTATAGCTAATTGTAGTATCTCCTAAGAGGTGTTGACCTCAGCCTTTCCTTCCAGTGGACCACCTGGATGAGGAGGGGTTCTGGTCCCTGTGGTGTTCTGAGCCCTACCATCTTGGCTTGTGTGACAGCAACTCTGAGCTCAGCATGGAAGTAGATGACTGGGAATTGTCCTGCTATTCATCAGGGCTGATGACTGTCAAAGATAAATGAGGATGCTCTGGACCCGTGAAGGGTAAATTTCCTCACGCGCGCTCTCTGCCTTTTCCCATTCATCTCTTAAGAGGTCACAAGTGGTTTGGGGTTGGAGAACTGATTCTGTGTTTTTCAGGTGGAAATTCAGTTCTGTGAGCTAAGCACCACTTTTTGTTTGGGGTTATTTTTTCCCTGCGAGTCTGTGCTGCTTGTGTCAACAAACAGAAGAGGACAGGAGGCCTGTCATTTGCCCCTTTATCATAGGTAGTGAATAAATGGAAGGTGATAGAAATTTGCGGAGCGTCTTTTAGAGCATTTGCCTTTTCTGGAGCAGACCCTCAGATCTTGGAAGATTTCAAGGTGATTCCTCAAAGCCTCTGGAGCCTGTCAGGAGAGTGATGGTGCTCTCCTTTCTTCTGTGCCCAGAGCTTCGTCCTCGCATCCATGGCATAGGGTTAGGGTTAGCTATAAGATCCTTTGAAAACTATTTGATCTTTCTTACTCTCTGTTTCTGTATTGCAAAATGGATTGATCAGTCCCTACAATAGAGATTTGCTATGAGAGTTAAAGGAGTGAAAAACTTATGAAGTACTTTGAAGAGTACTTGCAGCTCTAGACTCAACTACAAACCTCATTATTGTTTAGTCGAATCCAAGTCATAACTAACCCTCCAGATGCTTTTTAGGGAACTTAAATCACAGGGGAGAGACTGCCATGGTGTGAGCAGGGCAACTCCCTCTCCCTACAGTCGACTCCCAGAATTCTCTTGGCGAACCAGGCAGGCATCATGGTTGGAGAGGTGGAGTGTCAAAGGAAGAGGAAGGTCTTCATCAAGGTGGATTGACATAGTGGTCATACCACGTGAGCATATTGATCATGAGTGTGGTTCAGGGATAGAACAGGATTCAAATCTGTTTTTCATATGTTGCTATTAGTTGTAATTGACTTGCTAGTGCCTAACAGCTAAGATCCATCTTAAAATCAATAGTATCCTTCATGCCACAACCTCTTCTGAATCCAGCCATTTCTAAATAATCTTAAGCAAGATTTTACTTACATATGGTATTAATGATGAGGATGTTGTCTTCAAATTGAGCACGACTCATACGACCCTATGAACAAAAGTCCTGACGCCCCTCTACAACTATCGTCATTTATCAAAGTTCATAGAGTTTCAGGAGTCATGTTGTTTAGAAAGTCATATTATTTGTTAATTTCTTAATTTTACTGGCTCTTCTTTTGGAATGAGAACAAATAGAGATCTCTTAACCAGGTGATATTTTTTTTTTTCCTCTCCATACCTTCAGCTTGGACATATTCCATAAGTATTATTGATTTTTAATCAGGTGTTACTTCCTGAAATGTCTCCTCATTGACCAATTCATTTTGGTCCAGTGACTCTTTGGATTCCTTCCCATTTTTATTTGATACTTCCTGCTTCACTTGGTACTTTGCACAAAGCAGGCCTGAGTCTAGGCAACATGAGGCTTGAGTTTATTCACTTCTGTTTGTCTTAGAAATGCTGAGCATGTTCTTCCCTTTTGGTTTTCTAATTCCAGTTCTTTGCTTTGTCTACTTGAGCTGCCGTTTGAAATCTTCTGTTCTGCTGTCTTGCTCCATCAGTTCTTCCCTTTGTTCTGGCTTCCTACTAGAATGCCCCTTGGAGACAAAGATGATATACAAATATTTTCATTGGCTTTAGAAACATCAGGAGCTTCTAATGAGAATTAGGTTATTAACAATGTAAATATGTAACTAGTGTATGGCCAGGCTATGCAATTTTTAAAATAATGTTTAATTTTTTTTTTTTAATGTGAAACCTGGAATAATGATTAATTTTGATCTAGCTTTACCACGCCCCTTCCCACTAGAAGGATAAACATGGCCACTTATACTTTTGTCAATAGACATGAAAAGGCTGTTTAGAAACTTGGGTAGGAGTGGTGGAGGAATTGGAAGAAATA